TAAATAGGCAAGTTTGTCGGACACACGAGTGCACGCATACCAGTGAGGAAGCCTGCGCGCGATGGAGCTGTTTCAAGCAATACAAAGACAGCGTACATGAGAGATAACATGTTGGCGTGAGTAAGCGTGGTGTCTGGGGCGTCGATAGTGGGCCAAACTCCATCAAGCACGTACCGCACGCCCTCCACGCACACGCACAGGCAAAGACCACCATGCGTCAAACAAGGCCGTCCTTGGAACGTACTGCAAACCGATGCTGGGACCAAGAACTGGTCCATCTTCACGCCATCTCGGCACAAGCTATCCACATGAGGCGTGGACACGTTCTTGCGCCCAAAGCACCCCAGATCTGTTGCAGTGTGCAGTGTGCAGTGTGCAGTGTGCAGTGTGTTGCGATGTGCAGAGATGAGATGTCATGCAGGAAGGAGGGATGTCACATCATGCGAAGTGGCGCGAGCATGCCATGCAAAAGCGATCAAGTCGTCAACCTCACTTATCCTCGTCCAGTGTGTACTCCACCCTTCGTCACTTGTTGCATCCGCGCGTACCTCCATATCCGAGGTCGTCAACCATGAGCACCAGGAAGTTGGGTGGCTGCTTCACCTTGGGCTCCTCTGCAGCTGCAGCTGCCACAGCGGCCACCACGACCATCACAACAACAAGCACCCACATCCTCATCCTCATCTTGACAGCTGCACCAAAACACACCAAAACATTCATTAATTGTGCATCGAATCGTGGAACAACAACAACAGCGACGACGATGAAGACGTCTTGTGTGTTTGTGTTTGTGTTTGCGGCTGTGGTGGCCGGCAGTGTGGGGTGCCATGGGGATAGTGTGGTGAGCAACGCAGGCGTGTCCATCCCCAACGTGGTTGTGGACGAGCTGCTCAAGGCCATCGAGCCAAAGATTGACCAGGCCATCAACGGCATTCAGCTCCCCACTTGCTGGTAAGCGCAGGTGTAGACGGGAAGAGAAGAGGACGAGGGTGTGAAAAGGGGCAATGACTTGTGTGACGTTGTCGCGCCACAGGACCATTCATTGAGGCGTGGCCACTGCATGGGTTTTGATGTTGTCTTTGTCTCTGAGCTCACGTGGCGTCGCACGCTTGGTTGGCAGCTACGATGACGTTGGCGTGAAGCACGTGCACCTGAACTTCCAGCAGCTGAGCATCGTCAACACGCGCGTTGGCCTGAACGTCAACACAAGCGCCAGCACGGATCAGCTCATCATCGAGGCCAGCATCCAACTCACGCTGCAAGGCTTCTATCGTAAGTTGCTGTGGTGTGTGTGTGTGCGTTCTTTGTGTGTGTGTGTGTGTGTGTGTGTGCGTTCTTTGTGTGTGTGTGTGTGTGTGTGTGTGTGTGTGTGTGTGTGTGTGTGTGTGTGTGGAGCGTTTGTGAACACCAACACCAACACCAACACACACACACACACACACACACGCGCGCGCGCATCCACTCATGCTTGCTTCAAACAGGGTTGTGCATCCATGATGACCCGTTTGGCAAGGGATGCTCCACTCTGGATAAGTGCAAGGTGAGGCGTCTTTGCTTGCAGGCGTGCCACTCTTGGCTTCATTCCATCCCGAAGTGCGCTCCCTTTTTGTGGCCCTCGCATCACTGCCGTGTGTTGCTCACCTCTTACCCACCCGTCATCACCCAATGTGCACGCGTTCACGCCACCAGGGAGATTTCTCCATCACGCCTTCCCTGTCGGCCACGCTTGCCTTCACGCCCATTGTCGAGTCCACCAACACGTTGCTCGTCAACGGGACTGTCGCCGGCTTCCGCGTCCTCTCCCTCAACAACAACTTCTGCTCATGGTGCGTGCGTGCGCGTGTGTGTGTGTGTGTGTGTGTGCATGTTTGTGTTGTGTGTGTTGTGTTGTGTTGTGTGTGTGCGTGTTTGCGTGTTGTGTTGTTTCTGTTTTGTTTTGTGCGTACATGTGTTTGTGTGGGTGCATACCTCAAACTCCACTCGATGACACACCAACGGCAACCATGCACACGCCCCCCCCCCATCCAAACGAATTCCCCCCTCAACACACATCCAACAACAACATTCCTGCCCCTTTCCTTCCTCCCTTCAACAGGTTCCAGAAAGGGATCCAGGCAGCGGAGCCAGACATCATCAAGGCCGGCACGAAAGCGCTTGGGGAGGTTGCCGCCTCTATTGCCGCAAGCCTCACGCGCGCAGCCAACTCCCACATCAACACCACCACCGCCCGCGTGGACTGGCTGTTCTCCAACGAGACGCGCAACACCCGTGCGGGCGCGGCGGTGCTGCTTGACGTGATGCTGATCACCCCATCTGGGGTGAAGGCGCCGGCAAAGCAGACGGCTCAGCCCCCGCTCACCCAGCTCACAGACAACGACATCCACGTGGTTCGTGGGGGGTGGTGGTGCAAATGTGGTGGTGGTGCTGTTGTGGTGGTGGTGGCGGTGCTAATGTGGTGGTGGTGGCGGTGCTAATGTGGTGGTGAATGAGTGAGTGAGTGGATGATGTGAGGAGAGTTGGGTGTCACATCAGTTGCCTTCGCCATCGTTGGCATCACACTCATAATCAATCACACCGCTTGCATCGACATCATCATCGCCACCATCACCATCAGGTGCTTGGCGACTCGCTGCTGTCGAATTCACTGTTTGTGCTGGCGGAGGATGGTGTGCTCGACTTTGCCTTCAACGTTGTCATCGCAAACCAGACGGTCCCCATCAACATCTCATTCTGTGAGTCTGTGAGATGTTATGCGTGTCACCATGCTTGTGTGACTGCCGTGTGTTTCGTATTTTCGTACATGTGCGCGGAGATGCCCCCCCCCCTCTATTAGTTTCTGCCTCAACTCACACCGCTTCACCTTCACCTTCCATCACACACACACACACACACACACACTCACTCACTCACTCACTCACTCACTCACTCACTCACTCACACACGCACACACACTCACACACACACACACACACACACACATACACACAGCGGATGCGTCTGACGTGCGGTTCAAGAGTGGCGCTGCCGTCGACCTCAACACGACTGTCGCGTTTCCGCTCCTCGGCAAGACCATCACCGCCAACGCCGTTCTCACAGCTGCTGTCACGGTAAAGAACGCAGCAGCAAGAGAGGGGAGGTGGTGTGTGTGTGTGTATGGTTTGTGCAAGCAGGCTTGTGTATGCTGGCGCGTGTTCGATGTTGAACCTGTTGTTCCTTCGGTCATGGAGCTGTGTTGCCTCACAATCGCCTCTCCACTCCCGTAACACCCTACCCCATTGCCCGGCCCCTCCCGGCCCTCTGGCCTCTTACAGCTGAACGTGACACAGACGGCAGCGCACACGTTCAACGTGACGGTGCACGCGACAGAGGCAACGCTCTCCTCCATCGGGCAGTGCTCAGGTGCGGCATGTGCGCATAGAAAAAAAAACCTGTGTTTGCTGCACACGCTGTGCTGAACGTACACACACACACACCCGCGCGCGCATATGCATGTATGCATGCACACACACACACTCACTCACTCACACACACACACACACACACACACACACACACACACACACACACACACACACACACACACACACACACACACACACACACTCGCGATTTTACTCACCATTCTCCCCGCCCCGTCTCCTCTTTTTTCTTTTTTCCCCCCCCCCCCCCCCCCCCCCCCCCATTCTTTCGTCCTCCTCCCCCCCTCTCCAACTTCGAATTCCTCCATTGCAGACAAGGCGACGTGCAAAGTGTTGCAGGCCGTCAAGGAATACCTGGACAAGCACGGGGCAGCCCTGGTCAACGAGGTGTTGGCCAAGGTGCCCATTGCCGTCTCAAACCAGCACGTTTCGGATCTGCGCGCCATTGTGCGCGACAGCTATGCAGACATTGCTGTGGGCGTGGACTTTTCCTCGCTCGCCGACACGGCCGTTGCAGCCCTGCATGCACACATCACCAGCACCGCTGATGGCGCTGGTGGTATTCAGTGCCCGCAGATTCCCGGCGCACACCAGGACGGCTGCATCTAAGCCATGTGTGTGTGCATGATAGCGTGTGGTTGCGTGCATGTGTGTGTGTTGTGTGTGTGTGTGATTGCATGCACGTGTGAATGTGTCATCCTGTTGCGTATCAAGCGTGACTGTGCCGTTCCCCCGTTACTGGCGCCAAAGATACAACGCGTAAGCCCACTAAGGAGGAGCAGGAGAAGGAGGATGGAGAGGAGGAGGTGGTGAAGGAGGAGGAGGAGGAGGAGGAGGGGCAAACGCAAATCACACACACACACACACAACACACACACACACACACTGCAACCCAAACGCTTTTCTTGGTGGTGCAGAAGCAAGACAAAGAAAGAAGAGAAAGCAAAAAGAGGACAGTTCTCACTCAGTTCACGATTGGTTGTGGATTGGTTGTGGGAGGGCGATGAATGGTCACTCGCACTCACACACGCACTCACACACACTCACACTCACGCTGTCTCCCACGACACCATTGACAAGCCACACGCAAGCCATCCATCCGTTGAAGGAGCAGTCACCTACCACTCTCGCAAACATCAACACCAACGCACACACACACACACACACACACACACACACACACACACACACACACACACACAACCCACCGTTGGAGCTGGTTCGCTTGTGATTGAAAGGTTGCCGCTGAAGCGGCAGCTGAGGCTGAGCTGAGTGGCAGCCATCGCCAACGACAGCGACCCCTCCTCCCCCTCCCCTTCACCACCATTACCAACCTCCTTGCTCCCCTCCTGCCCCCTCACCGCTATCATCCGCAGCACCACCCATCATGCCGGCGTCCACCAGCACAACAAAGCTGACTCTGCCAAGCATACCATGCAGGCGCAGTGCGCTCGTGTATGCGTGCATCCAGCTGGCGTGCGTGATTGCAGCCATCTTTCGGTACACACTGCCATCCACCGTCTACCTCTGCGTGGCCGTGCTCGTCATCCCCATTCTCCTCACCACCTTTTTCTTCGGCAGCGAGCAGCACCAGCGCCGCCAGCACCAGGCGCAGCAGCTGCAACACAGCCTGCAGTTGCAGCATCAGCAACTGCAAGATGAGGCGCGGCAGCGGCAGCGAGAGCAGAAGCAGCGACGCAAGCGGCGGCATCAACGACGCTCCCTTGCCTCGCATGCAACGCGCACGTCAAGCGCCAAGCTCTCCAGTCGCCACCGGGACGGCAGTCAACAGCCAGGCGCAGCGCAGCAGCAGCCACATGCTCGCCGACAACGACCGCGCAGCAAGAGCGAGGTGGTACCGCCACCCGAGATGGATGAGCTGCTGTCAACAGCAGCATTGCAGCAGCAGCAGCAGCCCTTGTCTCGGAGCGAGTGTCCCCCGTCTGCATCGGCACCGGCCATCCCACAGCAGCAGCAACAGCAGCAGTCACACGTAACAGCAGGAGCAGCAGCATCCGTGGCGGGGCGCCGGCAGAAGCGCCATTCCAGCTCAACATTTGCAACGCTCGACCAACTCGTGGAGCAGGGTGGTGACGATGACGGTAATGGCGGTGCATCATCGAGCCACTACCGCCAGCAGCACCACTACCAACAGCGGCAACAGTGCCACTCGCAGGCGTCAAACGCCACCACCACGCACAGCAGCAGCAACAAGAGCAAGGGCGAGGCTGTATCCATCCTGATGGACAGCATCGCTGCAGCCCAGCCACGGGACCAGCAGCAACCGCCACACGTCACGCACCTCGAAGCCCAGCAAGCGATAGAAGCGGAAGAGGCAGCGGCGGCGGTGGCGGTGGAGGGTGAGGTGCACCCTTGCTGTGAGCACCGCCACCGCCATCACGTCTATCAACGCGCACTCCTCATCTTCCTTCTCGCCTTCAGCGCGTGCATGACAACGGCGATGGTGTGCTTGCAGATATGGGCTGCCAGCACGAGCGAAGGCTACGCCAGCGCGCTCACCCCTGGCTCAACAACACAGGAAACGCTGCACCAGCTTGGGCTGCACACCTTCGCCGACCGTGCTGTGCACGACATTCTGCGGCTCATTCTCCCCGACGCGCTCGTGCTGGTTGTATCTGCAGTGCTGTTCGCCATGAGCCCGTCCCAGCGCCGGCTGCAGCAACAGGCTGTGCGGCAGCAGCGGCGTGACGCGCGCGTGAGCGAACGGCGACGCAAGCGCGATGAGAGGCGCAGAAGGAAGCAGGAACAGCAACAGGACAGGGAGAAGGAACAGCAGCTGCAGCAGGAGGAGGAACAGGAGGAAGAGGGGAGGAAGAGCGGTGACGGTAAGAATGGACGGGCAGGTGTGCACAAGAAGCGAAGCCACAGGCGACGCCGTGGCAGCGGTAACAGTGGCGGTAGCGATGGCAGTGGCGGTGGCGGTGGAACTAGCTATCGTCGAGCTCGCACGAAGAACAAGGCACCAAGCACATCACAAGACACGATGCAACAACCACCACAGCAGATGCCATTGCAAGCACCATCCACGCAACAGCGATCGTCAAAGAGCCATCAGCCAAGTGTGAGCAACAGCAGCGATGCTGGTGACGTTGCACACATGCACACATGCGCACGCTTCAGCGCCCTGTCCACCTCCATGCCCCCCGCTGTCCCCACCACCACATCTGCCATGTCGGCAACAGCAGCAGCAGCGGCAGCAGCATCGTCATCGAGCCATCAAATACTCTCGCCCGTGCATGAGGAAGATGGAGTACCCAGCGCCAGTCACGCGAGCGTGGTGAGTTGGGGTAAGAGCAGCAGTGGTGTTGCGGGTGTGGAATCAACAGAGTACACGTCGTACTCGGTGCACACAGTGGAGCGCCATGGCTCCTCGTTTGCATCGCAGCATCCACGCTGGCTGCAGAACGTGCTCGTGCCTGTGGCCATTGCTGCTGCCAACATGCTGCCCAGTGCACTCAGTGCTGTGCAGACGGTGGTGGCGCTGGTGCTGCTGGTGGTGGTGCTGTCTCGCCAGAAGCACCGCTTGAAGGGACATGCAGCCTTGCTGCACAGCGCTCTCAACATCATTGCAGCCATCCAGCTCATCCTCACCCACCTTGCACAGGTATGAAAGTGTGAGAGTGCTGTGTGTGTGTGTGTGTGTAGTGTGTGTGTATGTGGTGTGTGTGAGCGAGTGTGTGGTGTGTGTGTGTGTGTGGTGTGTGTGTGTGTGAGCGAGTGAGTAGGAGTGAGTGATTGAGTGATTGAGCGATTGAGTGAGAGTGAGTGAGAGAAAGATGGTGCGTGGGCATATGCGTCTTCTTGCGAATCGCTGTTTTGTGCTTTTTGTCCACGTGACCTCCATCCACCCAGCTCACCCAGTCAGCCCCGTCCCACCCACACACACACACACACACACACACACACACACACACACACACACACACACACACACACACACAGGCTGACGCAGACTACCGCTGCAGTGCACGGCGCACATTCATCCCTGGTACACTACCACTGCAGGCAGTTCGCCACACCAGCAGCCCGAATCTATCGCATACATCATCATCAGCATTAC